TAGAGGTCAGAAAATAGACCTGGAAGCCAAGCAACCCCTGATGGCTAAGAGACCTACCAAGGCCCCATATAAAGAACGACAGTCCGAGCGTTGCAATCAACCGAGAACAATTGAATTCATTCGTTATCTGGTCGTAGGTAGCGGTATACATTGACGAGGTGCAAGTCCTTTCGACAAGGCATCAGCACTACAAAAGCAACGATCCAGCAGTTGCCCATTACTCACACGCAAAGAGAACCCAGGGAGCAAATGATAACAATCAACCACCGCCTCATGGTATTGAAGTTTCGAGGATTCATCGGGTCATTCTCGTTCCAACTAACAATAAATGTGGACGATTCATCTGTGTCGCCCCCGTCATCGCCAAGAGCTTCTGCGGCTTCTTCATCCGCTGTATGACAGCTGTATCCATCATTCAAAGACCAGCTGCGTTCGATGGGACGTGAGTTGGTGGAGTGCAGCTTCTGCATCCGCTCTTCGTCGGCTGGGGGAGCCTGAATTGGTGCAAATGTGCCGTCCATGTCTTCATCTGATCTCACCTTCTCAAGCTCATCTTCCTCGCTCCTTTCGTCGCTTGTAGAGCGCCTGGCTAAATCCACATGGCTACTCTCAGCTTGCCTAAGCCGCTGTGACGCAGTCATGATCGAGTAGTGAGGTAGAGCCTTCTCATATAGTTTTTCGCTAATGCTATCGGAAATAATGAACATATGAAAGCTATGTAATAGTCTAGATTGTGTAACGAATGATTGCCCCAAATACCAAAGTAACTCAGAGCGATCGCTTGAAATAATTGAATGCTGGCAATAATCACACCGGTGAGGGCAAGGCCGAGTCACACCCTAAGCAGTACTTGCCTTAAGACCTTTGACCGAAAAATGGCGAGGGTTACAATAGATATTCAGTGTCTGATAATTGAAAAAGCAAGATAAAGCTTGCAAATTCAACAATCATTAGTCACATGTGGGAGGATTGTACTAAGTACATAAATCGTTTAGTCTAGTTCTTGCTAATCAATCTTTGAATTTTTATCATTTTAAATAACCACTGGTACTAGTTAGTCTAGTCGGCTTTTCCCTCAGCCGATTGCCACAGCATTATCAGTGGAGAACATATCAAACCGGGGTAGAGCATATGTATGGACTGCTAAACAGCACCTCGATCTTTCTCAGTCTCCTTTATAGAAAAGGGGGAGGGAAAGGAAAAAAAAAACATTCATTTCCTTATCATCGTCATCTGTTCCTATCTCAACATGTTCACCCTAGACGTTACAGATCATTTAAATTTTGATAGAGAACTAAGTTCATCACGTATGGAAAAATTTCCCGAGCCACAACCCCACGTGGACACACCTATTACAAGTCTCGTTATAGATCATACAGGTTTCAATTGTTCGCTTCTATACCTATACCTATGTGAAGAATGAAAATACAAAAAACCCCTTAAGTATCGTCCCTAGAAGCTCGCCCACAATAATAGCAAAGAAGGGGAAAAAAAAAAAAAAAAAAACTTCCCAGATTTGGAAGGGGGACCCAAACAGTCATTCAATAGCCACCTTTACAATCCAAATAGATAACTCCATGACACCAGTGTTTCATTACATGAATAATTTCCCGCATCCAAATAATAAGCCCCCGGCCAAAAAGAAAAAGGGAGTAGAAAAGAGCAGAAGAGGAGAGAAACAATGACGGAAGAGAATAGGCCACTCGAACATAATTTCCTGTACAGAAAAACACCTGGCACCTTCGTAGGCTCAGGTCTCTCAATTTTATCGCTCTAAGCTACCACCTGGGAAGGTTGATTGCCTACTTCTCCATTGGCGCTCTCTTCAGCCCATGAGCCCCAGAGAGCACGCTTGCCGCGGATTTTGAGAGGGCCACCAACGGTGTCGGGGCGTTGTTCAACCTGGACGGCGTCCTTTGTGGCCAAGACCAAAACCTCAAAAAACATCTTCGTCGCATCCGCCTTAGTCGCCTTGCGTTCGGGTAGAAGATCCTGGAACTTCACGCTCTTCTTCTGTTCCACTGCAGATTCACCCAGACAGTCGCGGAGAATGTGAACAGCATGCTTGGTACCAACTGAGACAGGGCCACTGTCCGCAGGTTGGATTGTGTCATCGAGATCTTCCAGGGGATGATTCATTCCCTCATCATCACTCAGATGCAAACCGTGATCGTGGTCATCGCCGGGGAATTCAATATCAGACCGCTGATGAAGCGTCGAGTCAAGACCAACACCTTCATCGATCGGTACGATGGCTTCTTCTTCGCCAAATTCCAAAGCAGGGGCGGCAGCTGCCTCGATGTCCATGTCTGCAATTCCACTATCACGCTTCCTCTTGAGCTCACCAGCCTTCTTAATGGTATCAAAGGAGAGCAAGTCACGAAGCTCTGGAGCCCACCCACGCCCGCGACCTCCTCCCAGCACATTCGCCACAAAGTCGCCATTCTTTTGCATGTCCATAAGAGTGAGTAAAACAGGATCACGAGGCAGGAAGGAGGTCGGCTTCAAGATGGTGGAGCGGTCCGCCTGTAACCCCTTGATAATATGGGCCTTGTAATCAGTTTCCTTGTCGAGCTCCACGGTCATCACCTTCCGTCGCTTCGCGCGCTGCGAGTGTTGGACAGCCACGTCATCCTCAGCCTCTCCCTCTACCTCGTCCCGGTCCTGGTCTTCACCTTGCTCTTGTTGGAGTTTTTCCATGTCTGCGTCTGGCATCTCTGAGAGGACACTCTCAGAGCGCCCGAACCTGCGCTCTTCGGCATCAAATACCAGTTCTCCGTCATCGCCAAGATCCATGGCTATATCGTCCGCCTGCAGAAGAGTGTCTTGTGGGCCCTCGTTGACCAGGTCCATCTTGTCCAGGGGAGCATCATCCTCGCCGAGGTCCAGAGGCAGATCAACATCGTTGAACTTGCCAGCATCGCTGAAAAGATCTTCTTCGACGGGACGAGGTGCAGGCGCGTCTCGACCCACTTCCATACTGAAGTCATGTCCCAAGGGCGTATCATCCTCTCCCAAGTCAAGGTCAACCAAAGTATGGTCTTCAAGGCGCGCAGGCTCCAGGGACACAGAGCGCCGAAGACTACTGTCTGGGAAGAGCTGGCTTCCAAAGTCCATCGATGTTCCTGGGCGCTTCCCCTCCGGCTCAAAACTGAGCGGCTGAGGTAAGAGCAAAGAAGAATCCAAGTTCATAAAAAGGTCCGATTCTGTAAGCACATCTGGCAAAGTTATACCCCCTGGGGCAACAACAGTGGTTGTCAAGTCATTGTTATTAGTCAAGCGAAAAGCCTAGGCATTATTACTTTAGCGTTGTTTGTAGAAATAGCATGATTCACCCCAACATACCATTTTGATCTTCATAAGAGCCTCATTGCAGTCGTCCAACAGGTAGCGTGCCTTTCGGCTATAGATCCGGACCACACCCAACAGCAACTGACCGCTCAATCGCAAAGCCATTGGAGCTTGTCCTTGGTCGACGATAGCACTGACACTGCTCTCAATATCCGACTGTAAAATGTGCGATTTGGAAAGTTTGCGCTCCAAGTTAGCTGATAACCAAACGCGGGCCAGTGGCCCGGTTTTTGACAAAAGGGTCTCCGAGTAGAACATGGTGTCACGGCGTAGTATATGAAGAGATACTAAAAATGATTGTTTCAAAAGGTATAAGCCCGCCGAATGCGGGGTGGTTCACAAGAAGTCCCTAGCAACCCAGGTGCGATGACGCGCTGTATCCAGAAAACAAAAAGATCGGCAACTGATGCTTCCTCCCCCTAAAGCCGAAAGGGGTTATAAACCCGGAGACAACAAGATGACGATAAGGATTATCGCAACGCAAAGAAATCCAGCTAATCCGAGGTTTGAAGAGGGGTGCAGGAAAGGAGGGGTGGTTGGGTGGATTGCGATGATTGCGGTGTGGTTTTCGCAAGTGAAAGGAAACAAGAGAAAGAGAGGAGGTCGCGTCTGGCGGGCTGGTTGATGGGCAGCCTCCACTGGCAACGGGTTGCGGCGGGCAGAAGCAGGCTAATGCACAATGCTGATTGGGTGTTTAGTTACGTGGCTGGGGTCACGTGCGAACAGGTCACTTTTTCCAGGAAGAGACAGTAATCACGTGAGTCTGGCGGGATGAGAGGTAATAGTTGCAAAGGAGTACTCCAATACCGTCGGCAAGTTGAAATTTAGATGGTTCGACAGATCTACAATTGTCTCTGTGCATTCTCTATTTGTGTTATATCAGTAGTTATTTTATTCTTGTTTAATTAGCCATCAACCAACCTTCCCTTGCCTAAAGGATGAGAAGGAAAAACAAAAAATCTCCCCGACTGGGAGTCGAACCCAGGTCTCCCGCGCTTGTTCCTTATACGGGATGACAAGCGGAAATCATGACCGTTAGACCATCGAGGAATTATTGCTAAGGGCACTAAACTCCTAGAGTAAATTATTACTTTAATCTAAAAACTTGCACCTTACCTTTCCCACATTATGAACGGTGAATAAAAGGTAGTATATTTCCGGCAAAATCGTCAAAGAACATTTTTATACACAATGATGACTGGGGTCTGTTCCCCCCTTCAATACTAAAAGGACGGTATGGAATTTACAGATCTAGAGTGATAGGATCAGTTGCAGTATCAATTCAAGAAGTTCAGGAGCGGGCGACTGTTGAGGTAGACACATTAACATAGTTGCACCCACGCTTAAAGCGCGTGACCGCCAAGAGTTGCCCCTTCGCTGGGAACAATGACAATTGCTTGCATACAATGTGTTCTCTCCGCAATTGAGAATGACAGTTTGTTTTTAATTCAACCTCCAAACATTGATCGACGCGGCCCTCCCCTGAGAGCGTCGTCTTTGGTGGGACCTGGAGGTCTAGCCTTGTCTCTTCTTAGAACCGGCTGCACGGCCCTTGTCTGGTTTCCACTTAGTCTCCCCATATTATTCGATACACCTGCGGCCGAAGTCGCGTCTGAGAACGTGGCTTCTACGTAATTTTTTTTTTCTCTTTGTCTTTGCAAAATCTTGTCCACCTCGACTTTTTCCCTTGATCCCGACGGGATGATAACCATTGTGAGCCCGATCTAGCAGGACGTCTTTGGACAGAAAAGCATGAGAGATGTCAAGGTCCGCAACGCCTGCGCTACCTTTGCATAATGCTCAGGCCCCAGATTTGAGGCCGCCATCGTCTACGCCGACGGGTGTACGCTCCAACACATCTACTTCAGTAAGTCTCGCTGCAGGGCAGATCCAGTTGACTTGCGCTGCGCTCGCGCTTTCAATTGGCTTCCTTTGGGTGTCCAGCCGCTAATTCTTGAATTCATTAACTAGACATCCACGTCGACTTACTCTTTGTTAGACCCACAGGAAACCGCTGAGCGCTTACAGACATCCCTTACCCACGGGCTCACTCCTGCAGAAGCTGAGATTCGCTTAATACAAGATGGGCCCAACGAACTGCCGCACGAAGACCCCGAGCCTCTGTGGCTCCGGTTTCTTAAACAATTTAGGGAGACATTGATTCTACTGCTTCTGGCGTCAGCGGCAGTCTCTTTCTTCATGGGCAATTTTGATGATGCGGTAAGCATCACGCTCGCGGTTACCATCGTAGTCACCGTTGGATTTGTTCAGGAGTATCGATCGGAAAAGTCCTTGGAGGCCTTGAGCCGCCTAGTGCCACATCATGCGCATTTGATACGCGATGTCCCTCTCTCAAATACCCCTCCTATCGGAAACTCGATCCCTGTAGCTACCAGTGGAGAGTTCGAGCTGCAAGATCTCAGAAGCAAAATCCCAGGCTCAGTTTCTGCCGCTGTCAAGGCTTCCACTACTGTTCCGGCGAATGAGCTAGTCCCTGGTGACCTAGTTTTGTTTACAGTTGGAGACCGTATTCCGGCGGACATACGCATTACTGCAGCCACTGATTTGACCATCGATGAATCAAACCTGACTGGTGAGAATGAGCCTGTTGCTAAATCGCCTGACGCGATTCGCGGCCCGAAGGCTCTGGCCACCAAGATTGTCACCCCGCCCCGATCTCCATTCTACGATGCCCCAGCCAGTGGCGCTGTGGGCGCTGATATCCGCTTAAATGAGCAGCACAACATCGCATTTATGGGAACTTTGGTTCGGTCGGGGTATGGACAGGGTATTGTCATAGGAACGGGTGCGAAGACTGAATTTGGCAGTATTTCAGCTTCTTTGCAGGAAATTGAGAGTCCACGCACCCCGCTTCAATTGTCGATGGACCGTCTTGGACAAGAATTGAGCTATGTCTCCTTTGGCGTCATCGGATTGATTGTAGTGATAGGATTGATACAAGGCCGGAAGCTCCTTGATATGTTCACCATTGGTGTCTCGCTTGCAGTCGCTGCGATTCCAGAAGGTCTTCCCATTATTGTGACGGTTACTCTTGCTTTAGGCGTGCTGCGCATGGCCAAGAGGGGGGCCATCATGCGAAGACTCCCCAGCGTTGAGACTCTCGGCTCTGTAAATGTTGTATGCAGTGATAAGACGGGGACCTTAACGCTCAATCATATGACAGTCACAAAGATGTGGCATTTTGACTGTCCGGAACCATTTGAGGTACACAACGATATTAGTTCACTGACGCCTGGGCCTGCAGCTCGGACCGTTCTTCGTGTCGGTAATATCGCTAATAACGCTAGACTTTCGCGCGTGCATGCAAATTCACCTGCCAGCGCATCTTCTGCTGCAGTGTTGTCTTCCACCGATGATAGGGCTCCGGGAACCATTAGGAGTAGGTGGGTTGGCCAGCCCACCGATGTTGCTATCCTGGATTTGTTGGACACTTTCGGGGAGGACGATGTGCGCGACCGGATCAGCGCTCGCATCACCGAGACTCCCTTCAGCTCCGAGCGCAAATGGATGGGTGTGATTATCGGCAATGGCACTGGCGAGTCAAGCAACATGGCCTACATTAAAGGTGCTCTCGAGCAGGTTCTAAAGCGTTGTGATACGTATCTTACAAAGGATGGACGGGAAGTTATACTAGATGAGCCGCGACGTCAAACAGTGAGGCAGGCTGCTGAGCATATGGCATCAGAAGGCCTAAGGGTGCTCGCTTTCGCCAGTGGAGCAGTGCGGGATATATCAAAAGGGCGGCCTTTTGGCAGCAGGACAGGTACTCCTGTTTCTAGAACTACCCCGGGTGAAGAGGATGATCGATATACCGGGTTGGTCTTTGCAGGCCTTGTGGGGATGAACGACCCTCCCCGTAAGGATGTTCACAAATCCATCAGGCGTCTTATGGCTGGAGGAGTACGCATCATCATGATCACCGGAGATGCTGAGACCACAGCAGTTGCAATTGCAAAGAAATTGGGAATGCCAATCAGTGATATAGCCGGTTCGCGACCAGTCCTTACTGGTGAGGAAATCGACCGTATGAGCACCACGGAGTTGGCGCAGGCCATTTCCTCCACCTCCATTTTCGCCCGCACGAGCCCTGACCACAAGATGAAAATTGTACGCGCTTTGCAGTCCCGAGGAGATGTGGTGGCTATGACGGGTGATGGTGTAAATGATGCACCAGCCCTCAAGAAAGCAGATATTGGTATCTCGATGGGTAAATTGGGCACGGACGTTGCCAAGGAGGCAGCAGACATGATCCTGACAGACGACGACTTCTCCACAATCTTGCGAGCCATTGAACAGGGCAAGGGGATCTTTTATAATATCCAGAACTTCATTACATTTCAGCTAAGCACCAGCGTTGCTGCATTGAGTCTTGTATTGTTAAGCACTACTCTTGGCTTCAAGAACCCGCTGAATCCGATGCAGATCCTATGGATCAGTAAGTTAATGTCAACTCCGAGCATTTGACAGCTGATAGCTGACAATCATCACCAGATATTCTTATGGATGGCCCTCCAGCGCAGTCCTTGGGTGTAGAGCCCGTTGATCCGTCAATCATGGGACGACCCCCACGACCCAGAACGGCCCGGGTACTCACGAAACCTCTCATTCAACGGGTGCTAACTTCGGCATTGATGATTATGCTGGGCACGCTTGCCATTTACGTCTACGAAATGGGCGATGTCGACGATGAGCTGAACCCGGGCAAACGCTCCCGCGTCGTAACCGCCCATGACACAACCATGACTTTCACCTGCTTTGTGCTGTTTGACATGTTCAACGCCTTGACCTGCCGCAGCGAGGGCAAGTCAGTGCTTCGCGGTGAGATCTCCCTGTTCGGGAACAAGATGTTCAATTACGCCGTACTCGGATCACTTGCCGGGCAGGCATGCGTGATCTATCTGCCTTTCCTGCAGCGAGTCTTCCAGACGGAGCCACTCAATCTGGCGCATTTATTCAAGCTATTGTGTATTTCGAGTTCAGTGTTTTGGGTAGACGAGGCCCGGAAATATTATCAATCGGTGAAACGGCGGCGGGCCGTTGGGGTGGGATACAGCGTAAATGTCTGAGGGCCGGGTTGATATATGCTTTTGCACTAGTTGTATAAAGGAGACATAGAGAATTATTATTTCCGGGAGACATCTGAATATTGTTAATATTGTAACAGCTGCCAGTTGATGTAGCTGGTTCTTGGAACCGAGTATATTGGGAAAGGTGTTGGTTAGGAATGGGGAGGGGGGTGGGGACAAGTACAGGATGAGAAATATATTTATGTATGTCTATTTGAGGCAAGACAATAAAAAATAAGTAAAAATAATTGACCGACACAGGGTTCACCTGCAATCTCTTTGATTCCTATTGGGCCAGCGATAAGGCTGTCTTCAGTTCTTGTGTTATATAACTCAAACAAATTGACCAATGGTTATCATCCGCTTACTCCATAGTCGATGGTCAGTCCATCATCAATATTTTAGCCGAAAAGAAGAACACTATAAGTATGTCCATGAACTAATCAGTACCCTAAAACCTACAACTAGGTGTATGATGAGCTCTTAATCCTATCGTGTTACACGCTACATTCCGCCTAGCATAGTGTCTCTGCGGCGAATACATATTCCCAATATGTACGAGTACACTGGTAAAAGTCGATGATGCATGACAACGCATAGGTTTTACTGTGTATATCATGGGCCCCACACATGAGTCTCAGACACTGGATGACGATAAAATTCAGAAGCTAGCCGTGCTAAGATGAGAGTTTCCACGGAACCTCTCGCCCTGTTACACGGACACTGCCAACCCGCCGGTAGGAGGAGGAGTAGTAGTAGTAGGCAGGTAGGGTCTACCTGGTGCATATAATCCCTCAGGTAGCAGCAGAGGCACTACGCGCTTTCCCCCCACCGGTGTCCCCCCAGCTGCATTGCAGCTTCGACACACGCATCATGCAAGGAGTAGAACAAGGGGGCTACCTAGTCGGTAGCGATCTCTGGTTTCCCACGGGCATTCATAGGGCAAATCATTGACTACAAGCGCATCATATCGATACATTATAAGGGGATACACCAAACTTAGTTTACAGGAAGGGGCGTGAGCAGCCGATACAAAAACAAGTAATGGATGATGAGCACATTGCCCGTTCTGATCATATGCATGTAAGATAAGTAGTCCATATAGGGTAGCCCCACCGTTCTCAACTATTGCCTGGCCGGTTGACCCCCCCCCATGGGGTATACAGGATATCTAAGCGATGACCATCCGAAAACGGAACCCGGTAGTACGAATTTTAAGCGCTGAAAGGGGACTCATGGGCGAGTTCGTGAGAACGATGGGCAGATAGGGTGTTTGGTTTGGCCGTTAGTCGCTGCAAAATGGGGTTGTGCTAATTATTTAAGCTACATAGATAGTGGGAAAGCTAAGACTAGCTGACTGGAGCCCGCAGGGTAACAGACCTATCACTGGATTGAGCTTGAGTCGGGAGGCTGAACTCGCCCCCCCTCTTCCCGCCGCAATATCGGTAGTCGATACTGTCACGAAAGGAGGAACGGATTAGACTTTAGGGCTACACCAATAATAATGTAAAACGGTATGGATGTACATGCCATCTCCCAATCATTTAATTACGAATCTCTTCCATAATGATATACATATGAAGACATGACATAAACAAAAAAGAAAAAAAGAAATAGCTAAGAAAACCCTACAAGATACTTAATAAGGAATACTATCCAAATCTGGTGGACTTCCTATCTGGATGACCATTGAGGAGAAGTATCTCCTGTATCTCCTCGCTGCCAAGCCTCCAGTAAGATAGATAACGATCTCTCCGGAAGTTCTTCTCGGTTCGGGATGGTAGTCGGCGAAGCATCGCTCCTGAAATTCCCGAGTGAACTCGGGTGATTGAGGGAGCCTCTCGAGGAACCGACCGAACGGTCATTGGCCGAAAGTGGACGTTATCAGTGCGATGGAGACTGCAGAGCCAAGACTAGGCCGGAACCGGATGCAGAGGCCCCACATGGCGGGAGGGTGGCGTTCAGGACCTTATCGGGACCTCATAGCCAATCATTCGGGAGATAACTATGAGCTGAGAGAAACGGGGATGATAAGGGCCGCACTGTATTTTTTTTATTTTGTCTTTCCTTAGGCTCCGCTCACGACTGGCGGATGGATCCCCTTCGTCAGATACCAACCAGAGGATTGGGTGTCAAGGCATTCCAGGGCGAATGGATATAACCCAGACCCTTAAAGACCTGGACTTTATCAGTGATAACTGGAGGAAATGGAGAAAGGCAGAATCGGATAGATAGATAGATAGATTGATATATGCAGCATCTCGTGGTGTATTAACCATCCGGTCTACAAGTATAAATAAAACACCCAGAGCCCATTCATTCTCTCGGAGCAGGAGTTTAGGATTGCTCCGCCTCTCCCCGGAGCGTTCAGCTCCGCATCGCTTGGTTTCATCTCAGCATCATCACATCTCTCTCGCAATTCCTATTTCGGTCTCGGCCAAACTCTATAAAGGACCAATGCCAAGTCCCCTGTTAGAGACTCATTGAGATTATTAGGCTGACGAGGAGGGGGACGCTTATTGATCAGGAAATGCGGTTCATTTTGAATATGACATGAACTCATGGTGGATCATGATAATAGAAGTTGTCAACGATCCTGACGATTACCCGTGGGGGGAGGAAGAGAAAAAAAGACATTAGGAGACTACTCCGTACTACTACTAATTAGTACCTAGGGTACCAAAGGAACTAATCAACTAACTAATAGTTAGTCGGTACTACAGAGTATGTTTATACATTTTGCCACGTTTTGCCGGGAAGAAAAAAAAAAAAAAGAAAGAAAAGAAAAAAAGACAAGTTCCCCATTTGCCACTGAATGTCCAATGGCTCATGAAGTGATGTTGAATTTGCACCAGAAGATGCAATGGAACAGGATGAAGATGGACAGCTTGGAAGGGGAAAGAAAAAAGTTATTGATAACGAGACTGGTGTTCCAGCTCTGATTTCCATACTCATGAAAGGGGGGTGATTTGATTGGAGATTTCTGAGGATCCCGTCGATGACTGTAAGCTTGAGTTTATTTTATTCCATTCGATTTCTCACATCTTGTTATCTCTGACTATTTGGCATTTTTATTTTTATTTTATTTTTTTGTTTTAATCCCTCGCCCAATCTATCGTTTGCCTTTTCCCTTTATCCGCGCCTCCCTCGCTAGGTTGCTCAATAATTCTTGTCCTTTACTTTTTCTCTATCTCTCTTTTCTTTTTTTTTAATTTTTTTTTTTTTGGTCCTTCTTTGTCCTATCTTTTCTGATTGACTACGTTCCCGTGTAAACAACACTATCTGTCTACATCCTCCAACTTATCAATACCGTCTCAACAGAGTTTCCAACAAGTCTTACGCGATTGACTGACTGATGGATTGATTGGGCATAACTAATAAAGGTCCATTTCTTCTTCCCACAGTCCCCACTTACCCTTGGCCTTGGAATCCGTGCCGATCAATTATCGCGCCCTAGTGGTGACCTGCTCACTGTAGGCCTGGACTTATCTTTCAATTGACTCGTTCACATTTGCAAACGCAAATTTGTCCCGTCCACTTGCCGACCCACCGGCCCTATCTTTCCAGAACTCTCAGCCTGCTTTTATATACTACAACATCTCCGCCCCCCCCGTGACGGTTCTTTTTCTCCACACACATACACAGCCTGGCGGAGTTCCTCTCTCTCTTTTCCATTCTTTCCCTGCATTCCTCCAAAGGGAGAAGGTGAGACACCCGACTGACAGGCACAACAAAAGAGTCACCTGCTTCGTTCCTCGTCCTCACACAACCGGAGCTTTTCGTATTCCTGCCTCTTTTCCATCAACACGCACCACCCGCCATCTTTCAGCTCCCAGGCGGTGGCGTTGCTACGAGAAATAATAGGCACCGCGTGCCTGAAATCGAGATTTCATACAGAACTGCAATTGACTTTGATATAACATGTCGGACATCAAGGCGCCTTTCGTCCCTGACTATGCGTCTTACAACTGGACTGGAGCCCCATCTAACTATGACTCGCTGGCGACCAATGAGCTGGGTGGTGACTCCAGTATGTTTTAAATGACGAAATATCCGGCTTTTTTCTGTGTCTGATAAGACTAATCATTTTACCAGGGGTGGAGAATGTGAACAAGTGGTTTCAATCCGGTGATCAAGCATACATTATCGTGGCTTCCGCCATGGTCATGGTCATGATCCCAGGTCTCGGTTTCCTTTATTCCGGTCTTGCTCGTCGTAAATCAGCCCTGAGTATGATTTGGGCCTGTATGGCCTCTTTCTCTGTCGTCACGTTCCAGTGGTATTTCTGGGGCTATTCGCTTGCATTCTCGCCCACGGCTACCAACGGATACATTGGCAACCTTCGTAACTTCGGCCTGATGAAGACCTTGGCCGATCCAAGTCCCGGCTCTGTTCTCGTGCCCAATCTCCTCTATGCCTTCTATCAGGTTGGTTCCTAGGTCTACCGATATGAAGTGAAGATGACTGACGTCGAGGTGTTCATTAGATGCAATTCTGTGGTGTCACTGCTGCGATTATCATGGGAGCTGTTGCGGAACGTGGACGCTTGCTCCCAGCTATGGTGTTTGTGTTCGTCTGGGCTACGATCGTATACTGCCCCTTGGCTTGCTGGGTGTGGAATGTGAATGGCTGGGCGATGAACTATGGTGTATTGGATTATGCAGGTGGTGGTCCGGTCGAGATTGGCTCCGGTTTTTCTGCACTCGCCTATTCAATGGTTCTCGGTCGTCGCCAGGAGCGTATGATGTTGAACTTCCGCCCTCACAACGTCTCTCTCATTCTCCTTGGAACCGTTTTCTTGTGGTTTGGGTGGCTTGGATTTAACGGTGGCTCGGCCTTTGGAGCCAATCTCCGTGCCACCATGGCTTGCTGGAATACCAACCTGACTGCGGCTTTTGGGGCCATTAGCTGGGTCCTTCTCGATTGGCGCTTAGCGAGGAAATGGTCCATGGTTGGTTGGTGCTCTGGTACTATCTCAGGCCTGGTTGCAGCTACCCCGGCATCCGGCTTCATTACCCCTTGGGCTAGTGTGATTCTGGGTATAGTCACTGGTATTGTTTGCAACTACTCCACCAAGGGTAAGCTTTGTTTTTAATGTTCTAACCGAACAATAACGTACTGACTGGATCTATA